CCCTTTTTTGTGCTGAGTATTTTGTATCAGGCAATACATGCAGAAAAGATGTTCCGGGAAAAATCCGTCTCGGAAAAAAATTTTTATACGAATCTTAGTTCGTTCCAGGAATTATGATGCATAGATTTACAGGCTATCAACGAAGATGCCTGGGATGGAATGATGCAGTTGCAAGCCAGAAAATCGGCTAGCACAAAAAAAATTTTGCAAATTCAACAATTTTTTCTCGGTCAAATTCGAAGGACGAAGCGAGAGTTGTCTGTACAGTGTGGTAAAATTTCTTTTCTTTTTGATTTGCCAGAATTTTGAAAGAATTTAGAAAATTACCTACTCTCCAGGAAACAGTCGAATCTAGCCCGAGTGATGTCATATGTCGGCGGCAACTAACCGCTAGCAAAGCTGTCAATTGCTCTCTCTTTCGAGAGTTGCTTAAAAGCAAGCTGATGGCAAGCTGACGTTGTGAACATAGCTGCTGTGTGGAAAAACTTAGGTAAATGCAAGCGGAAAGTCAAAAATCCAATAAATCCCTTATTCCTTTATTAAAGCAAAGTTATTTGTGAACATTCCGTAACTAACATTGGAACCTCCTCTTCCTCCGAGTTTCCCTTTCCCCTTCTACCCCTCCTCCGCTCCCCCGCGCACCCATCCGGACAGTTTTGATATTCTTGCTATAAAATGGCATCAAAGATCACCCATAGGTTCCCAGTTGGAAATTCGATGAAGAAACAGTGACGAGTTATGAAGAGAGATTTCCTGTCTTGGCCATGCTGATTTTTGAATACTTGCTAATGGCTTTTCCAATACCGCATATCAGTACCAGGAATATTTGTTTTCAGAATGCGCTCATCGTCCAAATCGATGTCCACCGGGCCCTGAAGGTCCACCTGGAGAAAAAGGAGAACCTGGAGGCTTGTTTTTTTTCTAGTACTATTACCAATATAAGTGCATATTTTGGTTAATTTAGCGAAAAATGTCCGTCCATTTTTATCGGGCGTTTTTATTTGCGTCTGCTTTCTCACCTTTATTCAAATCTGATCTTGAAAAAAATTTCCTGAAAATTTCAAAAAGTTCAATATTTTCTATTCCAATTTGTTTTTTCAGATCCAGGCGAGCCAGGAACACCAGGTATTCCCGGGGCTGCCGGTATTGTTGGAATCTTAAATCTGCCGCAACCAGGCTGTGTACAATGCCCAGCTGGGCCGATAGGTCCACCAGGCCCTGTTGGGCAACCAGGTGAGATTGGACGTCCTGGGAAACCTGGTGCTGATGGGAAACCTGGAAGAGACGGTACACCAGGGCCACCGGGGCCACCGGGCGATGTCGGTGAACCAGGTGATACGTTTGTATTATAATGTGCTGTATGATTAGAAATAAGAAGCGGTAATAATAACAAGAATAATAATAACAATATCATGATAATGACAGTAATTATAACAATGACAACAGTAGCAATAATAAGAATGATAATAACAGTAGTAATAACTGTAAAAATAGTAATTATCTTTATAGTAACTGAATTATTGACGGCGGTAATGATAACGATAACAGCAACGATGTAAGCAGTAATTCATAAGAAAAGCTGTTGGCACCTACATTAATTTAAATGATTTAGGCA